GTGCAAATGGGTGTACTCTCTTAAAAAAATTGAGAATGGAGAAATTGAACATTATAAAGCTAGGCTAGTAGCTAATGAATGCAATCAACGATTTGGCATTGATTATGTAGAAACATTTTCACCTGTACTTAGGTACTCAACTATACGTCTAATATTAGCTCTAGTGGTCGAGCCAAAGATGTATTTACATCAAATTGATGTCAATGTCGCTTACTTAAATAGTAATCTACAAGATGAAATTTATATGCAGCCTCCGAAAGGTTTTTGTGATGATAAAAAGGGTAATAAAGTCTTACGACTAAAAAAGGCGATATATGGATTGAAACAAAGTGGGAAAGAATGGAATGAAAAATTGAATAATTGAATAATATATTTCGTAATTTGGGATTCCAATCTTACAAGAACGAGCCATGTTTAAATAAAGCAAACAAGAAGAATAAACTTGTAAGAATTGCAATATATGTAGATGATATAATCATCGGGTGCAGTGATAAGAAAATTTTAATCAACACTAAGAAGCAGATTTCTGAGCAGTTTCAGGTTGATGATAAAGGTATGTCACATCATTTTCTTGGAATGCAAATAGAACGAGACGGAGAGACCGGAACAATAAAATTAAACCAATCGCAATATATTTGCGAAATCCTAAAGCAATATGGCCAAGGTGAATGCGAAAAAGCAGATATAAATGAATACCAATCTCTAATAGGATCATTGATGTTTCTAGCTATATCCACAAGACCAGATTTGTTATACTCCGTGTGCAAAATGGCACAAAGAAAAGCAGACCCACATGTAGCGCATATGACAAAGTTAAAGCATATCCTCCGGTATCTTCAAGATACAAAAGACATAAAACTAATTTATGAATCGGGTCAGAAAACTCTAGTTTGATTTGTAGATGCTGATCATACACAGGCTTCGTGTTTTTCCTGGGAAATTCTCTAATATCATGGGAATCCAAGAAGCAAAAAACGGTCGCACCCAGCAGTACAGAAGCAGAATATATGGCAGCGATAGAGGCACCAAAAGAAGCTATTTACTTGAAGCGATTGCTAATCGAACTTGGATATTTAAAGACTATACCTATCGACTTAAATATCGATAATCAAGGTGCCAAGAAGCTTGCAGAAAACCCTGTGTACCATAAGAGGAGCAAGCACATCGACATCAAATTCCATCATATAAGGGAACTGGTGCAATGCAAAGAGATTGCATTAATTTATTGCAGTTCAAACAATATGGTTGCAGATGGGGTTATAGAATTAAACATAATTTTATAAAAATGTTAAATATGTTTCGATAATTTAAAAAAATTAACTTAAAAGTATCATACTCATTGAGGAGGAGTGTCGAATATGGCAACATTGCATTGTCATATATTGCTTTTAAGATTTGCAACCAACTTTAGTACATTATAACAAGTTGATGAACTCACATTGAAGTGTTAAAATATATGTATCTGAAATTATAACAACAATATAATATTATAACAGTTCCAATATTATAGTTACCCATATATCTTAAGCGAAATAAGTATATTAGAATTCTCTGACTCTAGTAAAATTAATCTAGACCATTTAAATTTTGAAGAAAAAAGAGCCATAACTAAGGTTATAAACACATATAGTCATCTGTTTTATAAAGAAGGTGGTACATTAACAGCAACAAATGAAACACAACACGAAATTACCACTACAATCGAAAGTCCAGTTTATTCTACAATATATGGTTATCCTCAAGTTCACGAAAAAGAAATTGAGAGACAAATATCGGACATGTTAAAACAAGAAATTATAAGTCCCAGCAACTGTCCACATAATAGCCCATTGTGGGTTGTAAAAAAGAAACTTGATAAATCCATGATACAAAAATGGCGGCTTGTAATTGATTATCGCAAATTAAACAATATAACAACCAGTGATAAGTTTCCAATTCCAAATATTGAGGGAATTTTAGATAAATTAGGAAAAGCTCAGTATTTTAGTACCATAGACTTAGCAAAAGATTTCGCTCAAATACTTGTCAAGGAGTCAGATCGTAAAAATATAGCTTTTTAAACCCCATTTGGTCATTACGAATTTAATCGCGTGCCTGTTGGACTAAAAAATGCAACATCCACTTTTCAAAGGATGATGCACTTTGTTTTAAAAGTTTTAATAAATAAAATTTGTGTTGTTTGTTTAGACGACATATTGATATTCGGTACTTCTTTGAAAGAACATGTAACTAATATTAGGAAACTATTTGAGCGATTGGAACAATCTGGATTAAAAATTTAAATTGGTAAATCAAGTTTTTTAAGAAAAGAAACTAAATTCTTGGGACATATTCTCACCTCTGAAGGAGTAAAACCTAACCCAAACAAAATTAAAAGCATTCAGTTATTAAAATTACCTACAAATCTGAAGCAGATAAAATCCTTTTAGGAATGACAAGATTCTATAAAAAGTTCATTAGGGACTACTCCAAAATAGCTGGTCCAATGATAAACTATCTCAAAAAAAATTCTAAAGTTAATATTAATGATCCAAATAACATATTATCCTTTGAAAAGCTCAAAGATATCCTAACTAACCCACCTATACTTAGGTATCCAAATTTTAATAAAACATTTCAATTATATACCGATGTTAGCAACACAGCACTTGGGGCAGTTTTGTCTCAAGAAAGTCACTTCATTTGTTTTGCATCAATAACTTTGCGAATCTTTACTAAGAGAAAATGAAAAGCTTAAAGCTGAAAAAAATATACCAATTTCTGTTAAAAAGAAAACCAGTACTAGTGCTACAATTATAAACGTAGTACATAAGAACGTTGCGAGTAACAGTAATTCACCCCAAAACGGTAAACGTGGGGTGAACCCCAAAACGCTTCATTCAAACGTCTTTTGTCTTCACGATTTTTTGTTATTTGCCAAATTCGTCTCAATTTACGTTTCTGAAGTAACTGTTCCTTTATGCCTCCATCTATGTGCTCTTCTTTGTATTCATTAAAATGCATGGTTGAGTTCCACGCGGCATTCTGTACGGTTGTATTAAATTGCTCGACCGCAGATTCGATATCGGTACCGGTTTTGAGTAGGATGTTGGTTGTTACATTTTCATTTATGATGCTTCTGAAAATACTCCAGTTTGTACTTTTGTTGTATAATCGAGGCTCTTTGTTCTTTACAAAAATTTTAGAGTTCAACTCCATAATAAGGGGAGAGTGGTCTGAGGAAAGATCTAAACTGGAATAAATCGATAATAATGACCTTGAAATGCCTTTAAATATGCAAAAATCGATCACTTCTGGAACTTTATTGTGGTCTGTTGGCCAGTAAGTTGGTTCACCAGTTGATGCGTGAAGCAAATCGTTGGCCTGCATAGTCTTAAATAATTCGCGGCCTCTTGGTGTGATTAGTCTGGAGCCCCAGTGAGTATGCTTTGCATTGAAGTCCCCAGCAGCTATAAATGTTTGACCAAGCGTGTGGAAAAATTCCTCAAACTGATGACTTTAAATTTTTGGGTTTGGTGGGCAATAGATAGAGGCTATACATACTGGACCTTTATTGTTTTTAACTGTTAATGATATTGACTGAAGAAATGATTTTTCGTATTTGTTGTGCACAGAGTGATCAATATCGCTTTTCACGATTATCGCAGCTCCTCTACGTGCATTTTCAGATGGGTGGTTGGCACCGTATATAGAATACTTCGGAAATCTGAGATGGCTTCTGATACAAGCGTTTTTGTATTTATTTTTTTATAGTTTATTAAAAAAAGAAAAAGAGTTGTGATTTTGAGAATCACTAAGAATCACTAAGAAATTTAATTTACGTTTAAACACGCGTGCTGCTCATTCGGAACTTGAAATCAAAAAAGCAAAAATCGAAAAGCCAGTTCAGTCGGGAAGCTAAAGAACTGTATCAAATTAAAGTTGTTTTTTTTTATATATATTAAGATTACTGTATGTAATGTGCAAGGTTGACAAAAGTCAACATTGGGTTGCATATTGACAATAAAAAATGAGCAGCACGCGCGTTATTTTATCTACTTCAAATAGAAATGTAATATAAAAAATGAAAACATTCAACACCGGCCGCGTTGAAGCACTCTTATGTGTTCAATTTTCCGGAAGTACCGCCAATTTATGTACTGGGTGTCTCACAATCCCGTTGCTGGTATTGACGTCAACGACCCAGACCTTATTGTCGCGACCTTCCACCCTTCCGAGCTTCCACTGGTGAGAGGGAAGGTTCTCTTCTTGGACGACGACTAGTCGGCCGACTGCGAGATTCGGCTGCTCGAACACCCACTTGTTCTTGGGCTGCAGCTGTAGGATGTAGTCTTTCCACCAGGCCTGCCAAAACCTCCGTTTGAGCTCGCATAACAGACGCCATCGTTTCAAAGTGCTCAATTTGTTGTCGGAGACGCCTTGCGCGGATTCTTGCGGCAGCGTGTGGAGAGTACCTCCTATCAACAGATGTGCTGGTGTTAGCGCCTTTTTGTCGTTTGGGTCTTGACTCAATGGACTGAGTGGACGAGAATTTAGCAGGGCTTCTACCTCTATGAGCACTGTTTGCAGTTCTTCGCTGGTAAGGAGCGCACTGTTGGTTGTTCGTTGTATGTGGTGTTTTGCCGACTTTACCGCTGCTTCCCATAATCCTCGGAAATGAGGTGCCCTGGGTGGTATGAAGTCAAACTCTATGCCCCTTTGTGCAGCATAGTATGCCAGATCGTCTTTGTGCTCTCGAAACGCATCTATCAGCTCTCTCAGCTTGCGATCGGCACCTACAAAATTTGTCGCATTGTCGCAATAGATTTTTTCTGGGAGTCCTCGTCTTCCGGCAAACCTTTTAAGACTAAAAATGAAACAGTTAGTTGTCAGATCTGTTACAAGTTCTAAATGTATAGCCTTTGACGTGAAACAAACAAACACTGCGATATACATTTTAACTGGTGGTCGACCACGAATTTTCAAAGTAGTGTATAACAGGCCCACAAAAATCGACACCGCTAATCGGCCATTACTTGGGTCAACAGCTTAGGTTTGTATCGAAAACAATGTATGCATGTTCTTACGGTTTTAAGGCATGCCTTGCTTGAATTTATGACCCAAATTTTTTCACGAAGCAGCACTTCTAAGGCTTTTTGACCAGCATGACAATTGGTTGTATGAAGAAATCGTAAATAAATCTCGACAAAATGCAATTTTTTTGGTAACAGCAAGGGAAATTTTGAATCATAAGAAAGTGGTGCGTTTAGTAGACGACCTCCTACACGAAGCAAATTGCATGTTCGAGGACCATCTTGGACTGTATGAATGAACGGAGTTAGTTTCTGAATGCTAACTGGCAATTTATGCGACTTCTTCATTTTTTCGATCTCATCCCTGAATTCGTGATTTTGAATGAATTCAACCATTTTCAAGAATGCCCAATTAAGCTCCTTTGTTGTCGGAATAAGAGCGTTAGCTCTCTCATTTTTCTTAGTGATAAAACGTAGAATGTACGCGAAAATTCTCAGCAGGCTTGGGTAAGATGATTGGCTACAGATTAGTTTTGAAATGACATTAGTTTCAATTTCAACTGCTAAAAGTCCGACCTTGACCTTTCGTTTCTCCAAACTTTTTTCATCTGTTGATCGTGGAAAATGACTATTTTTTGGCCAGTTAGTGGCATCTTGAAGCAAATATGGGGGATCTTTGAACCAGATTGAGGTATTAAGCTCGTTGACAGTACAACCTCTTGAAACTATGTCTGCTGGATTTTGTTTTGACGGAACGTGTCTCCACAAAACGTCGTTTGACCATTCTTGAATTTCTGACACTCGATTTGCCACGAATGTTGTGAGTGTTGACGGATGACTCTTGATCCAATATAATGTAATTTCTGAGTCAGTCCAAAAATATGCATTCTTGACGGCACCAGAAATGAGTGGCTGTACTCGAGTCCATAGTTTAGCCAGAAGGTGAGCTGCACATAACTTGAGTCTGGGTAAAGACTTTGTACTGAGCGGAGCAACCCTTGATTTAGCAGTGAGCAACGCTGTATGGATACCATTAGAGTCGCGAGTTCGGATGTAAATACAACAGCCATAAGCTCTTATCGAGGCGTCTGCGAAACCGTGAATTTCGCATTTGGAATTTGGGATCACATTTACATATCGTGGAATTGCGATAGAATCCAGTGAAGATAAATCCGCTTTGATGGCTTGCCAACTGGTGTCAAGGTGCATAGGTATCGATTCATCACAATCAAGTTTTTGAAGCCAAAGTTCTTGCAACAATATTTTTGCTTTAGTGATAATTGGACAAATTAAACCGAGGGGGTCGAAAAGTCGAGCTGAAACCGACAATATATTTCTCTTTGTGGCTCGTAAATGATTGAATTTTTCTTCTAAATGAAATTTGAAAATATCACTCTTTGGCAACCAATGGATTCCAAGGGCCTTTGTAATATCACTGTCATTGACTTTCAACGGTTTTTCTAACAGCTCGGTGCTTTCATAGGCTGAGTGGTTTGAGAACCATTTCGCTAATTGAAATCCTGCTTCATTGAGAATATAACTGACTTCTTTTCGAATTGTTTCTAAATTTTCAAAATTATCCGAACCAGTAAGCAAATCATCGACATAAAAGTCATTGCGTATTGAGTTTGCTCCCCTGGGATAAGTAAGTTGATAAATATCGCTCAAATGGGTTAAGCAGCGAGTAGCTAGGAATGGTGCAGATGACGTACCATAAGTCACAGTGTTTAATTTGTACACCTTCAGTTCGTCGGACGAATTTTCTCTCCAAAGTATAAGTTGAAAAATTCTGTCTGCCTCGTCAACTTCAATTTGACGGTACATTTTAACAATGTCAGCAGTTATTGCATACTTATGCATGCGGAAACGAATCAAAATTGAATATAAATCTTCTTGCACGATCGGGCCGACCATTAGTAGATCATTCAATGACATCTGCGAAGATGTTCGACTTGATGCGTCGAATACAACCTGAAGCTTAGTAGAGGTGCTCTGTGGTCGCAGAACACATTGATGGGGTATGAAGTAGTGAGGGGTTGCAGAAAAATTCTCGTTGGTTGGTGTCATATGACCTAAGTTCCGATATTCTTTCATAAAATCCATATAGAGATTCTGTAAGATGGAGTCATGAGAAAGTTTGCGCTCTAATGATAGAAAACGGCTTTTTGCTGTCTGGAATGAGAATCCTAAAAGACTTGGATCAGATTTAAAGGGGAGTTTCACCTTAAACCTGCCAGACAGTGTACGTTGAACAGTGCTGACGAATTTTGTCTCGCAAAGTTGTTGTTCCGCAGTATATTTCTTAACCTTAATCTCCTTAGGAATTTCTTCTAATTTCCAGAATTTTTGTACAAGACAGTTTAAGGAACAGTCATCTGTCAACTTTTCTTTATCTAAGCTTATTAGATTGCAAATTTTAGCATTGGGGCTTTCGGCATGTTTGAATCTTTCAGATACAATCCATCCGAGTAATGTTTTCTGGAGCGTTGGAAAATTAGTATCTTGTTTTATTTGTCCAATCGACAACAGTTCGAAAAAGCTTTCGGCACCAAGTAGAAGATCTTTCTTTTGCGGTTTGTGAAAGTGTGCATCAGCAAGTGAAAGATTGGAAGGAACATTCCAATTACTCATTGACACAAATTTGTCGGGTTGGTAAGTGGAGATTGAAGGCATTACCCAAAAATCAGTAGAAAACTCATAAGAATTAATACGTGATCTCACAGTGGCATGTAATTTTTGCCGTACTGTGGAGTTTGTTTCACCAATGCCAATTAGGTTTAGAGCTTTCGCTGTATTGAGTGTCGCTTTCTTCATCACCAGTGTATTTCCACATTTTTTTTTTGGCTTTTTTGGTTTTTTGATGAGAAGCTTGTTGGATTATTAATTAATTTTATTTTATGAGCTATGGCAATTTCACTAGCTATTTTTGATATTTTTCCTTAAGTAAGTAATTTAAGTAATTTCTTTATGTAAAGGTTTGGTTGTGGATTGTTCATTTATTTTAACGTCCTCTGTACTTAGCATTATATAGCCATTTAGGCCATTTTCACTAATTTGATAATGCCGTCGTATAACTTTTTCGCTCATATAATAGTTTTCAATATATTAGCAGTTTGTTCATTTAATATTTAAAATTTAATATATTATATTGAGCTCAATCAGTGAACTTTATGCAGAATTGTGTGTTTCGAAATATTGGCAGTTACCAACAGGTAACTAGGTCAATATTGAACCTATTTTCAGCGGAACAGCAGAAATTAATGGAATTTTACGATCATGCATTACGCACATGATCAATGTTTCACTGGTTTCCAAAGGTGAAAACATGGGTGGAAAGCTCAAAACAGGGCAGTTAGTTTTTGAATAGTAAGTTGCGATGTGGTTGTCTAGGGTTGTTCTGAGAGTTGTTCTCGAGAAGTTTGTTTGAGCGTTAAAGTATCCAAGTGGCAGTTGTTTTTTATTGAAATTAAGATTAAGTGCTTTACAAAGGAAAAACCCCTATTGTAAAGTTAAACATTAAACAAAAGAAAAAGAAATAAAAGAACTTAAATCGATCGTATAAATAAGAAGGTGCAACAGAACATTTAGTGATTATATATTTTCAGCAACATCAGCAGTCAATAATTTTAACAAAACAACAATTACAGCAACAATTTCAGGGCAACATCAAAGACAGCAGCAACTTCAGCAACAATTTCAGTGCAACATCAACAATAGCAGCAGCTTCAGCAACAGTAGCAGTGCAACATCAGCAGCAGCAACTTTAGCCACCGTAGCAGTGAAACATTAACTACAGCAGCAATTTCAGCAATAGTAGCAGTTGCAACATCAACACTAGCAGCAACTTCAGCAGCAGAGAAGCTGTTTCAATAATTTATAAAAGAAGATACAAAAAATTAATGTATAAGTATTTAAAAAAAAAGGAAATTTATGGACTTGTATTTTTTTTCTAGATGTATATGACATATTGATTCCATGCCAAGTCCCCTGCATAAGAAAAAGTTACTGTGCACTTTACGTCTCTTTGAGCTTCTCTTACGGCGAATATTTTTCGAAGTTCTTGTTTTCTTATTTCGCAATTCTGCTACTTTGTTTTGATTATTGTAAAATGTGATTTAAAATGTATTCGGTGCTAGTTTTGTAGTTTTGTAATTTTTAATGTAATTTAATAAATATTAATTTTATAAATATTAATGTGTTCCAAAACAAAATATAAATATAATTCATAAATAAATAAGGTAAGTATATTATTTATTTAATTAATTAAATTTTTAACTTTTATTTCAATGTAATTGCAGATCACTTGGTTATTTTGTGGGTGCATCCTGCAATTAGTTTCATGCGGGGTGGGTTTTGGTGAGTAGTTTATAATAAATGTAGTAAATATTTATTTAATGAACTTTATATCAGATATATCCAATATTTGTTACCAGTAAGTGTTTTAAAATAGATAAAACTGTGTTGTGGTGTTATTTTTTAGTTCATTGTAATGTTTGTACCAAAGTGATGTGTCTAATATATTTTTATGTAGGCGAAAATTTAATGTAAATTTCCGTTCTTACATGTTGATGTTGTTGTATATGCGGTCAATGACTGGAGAAGGCGCGCACGCAGCAGAGGCGCCGGGGGAAAAATGCTGCGAAACTCGGTAACGGGTTGTTATGGCCACATAAGTAAGTAAGTAAATAGTATAAATCATATTATATGGATTATAATATTTATTTTATTAATTATTATTTTATTAGTTTTTTTTTGAAATTTTCCGATTTTTTTTCCATAATAATTAAGAATATATTGTATGAATTGTGTACTGTATTTTAGTGGATATTCTTAGTTTACTATAGCCTAATAATTACCACCACCACCAAATATTTTATTGACTAAAATTTTAAAATTTAGTAGAAATTGTAGCTTACTCAGAAATTAGTCTTAATTAATACTAATATATGGCTAGTTAATTTATATATATGTATATTTTTTTTAAACAATGCAATTTGTAGTTATGAATAAAAAAAAAACTTTTTTTTAAAAAAATTTTTAAATTACATTATTACGTCATTCATCTTCGTTTACGAAAATTCCTAGGCCCGAAGATTTTTTTCCCCCTTTCTATTTTTCTTTTGTTGAGTTCTTGTACTGAACCGTGGTATATGCTGAGTATACCCCGGCCGTGGGAAGGGCCGGAAAGGTCATTACAAGGTAAACAGCAGTAGCTGCAAGGCGGTGGACATTGCGGTGTCGGTTGCGGTGTTTTCAACATGCACGCCAATAACAGTAAATACCGCTTTCAATATAACTGTGACTGCAGTTGTTGGAGACGCAAATGTAGACGCAAATGTATGTAATACCTGAAAACTCTTAAAAGCTATCCTTTAAAAGTTTATACCATCTAGCACATAAACTAATAGTTTTATATTTGAAGGTTTGTTGCTTTTTTGAATATGTTGATTTGACAGACAAGCACTTAAGCTGTTGCCGTGCGTAATAAAAGGCGATATTATTGATTTAAATCTGATCGTTTATTATTAATGTTTCAATTTATATACAAATTACTATACACAAAATTGATAAATCATCAAAATTAAAAATATGCATTAATTTGCAGTATACAAAAAACAAATAAACTACATAATTATTAATTGTTTCAGTTTAATGAGGCCAAACACTTTCGTCAATGCATTAACCACAAAAAAGCTGATATTGCAACATTGCAAAGCGTTGGCCTATAAAACAAACAAGTAGCACTTGAATTGTGTAAGCAATAATTGTTAAAACATATGCTTATACTGCAAAATAAAAATACCAATAAAAAAATATAACTACTAAACCTAAATAAATAATGATAACATAAAAATCCAAGACGTAAATCTAAGTCATAAGCCTTAACAATACCCATAAAGATTTTTTTTATTCTCATAGGTATGCATAAGTTAATGATATTTATTAATATGTTTATTTAACAACGATTTTTTCGCAAAAAAATTTAACAAAAGTTTCAGATGTTAAATTAGTTAATTTTCTTGTTACAAAAGTTTTAAATGTTAAAGTAGTTAACTATATAGGAATATTTAAAAGAAATAAAAAAATAATTCAATTATATTTATTTATATTGCTATTTGTAAATTATATTGCTAATTAAAAATGGGAAGTTATAATAATAATAATATATATTATATAATAATATAAATAAAATAAGTTTAAAATTAATATTACTCCAGGTTTAGAGAAGTAAAGAAAAGAAAAAAAAACAGAAATAACCTTTTTCTGTTAAAATTATATGCTATTCAGTTTTTTTGCTTGTTGGTAGCATTTCTTTTATTTAAAATTTTTGTCTAGGTACAGCGACCTCGCGAATGACGTCATTTAAGGAGTTTATTTACTGCTTCTTGCATTTTTTTTCTCTTCTTTTTCTTTTTTTTTGATTACATTAAGAATCGTTTTTTTTTTGTGTGCATTACAAGTTTTTTTATATTTTATTTACAAAATATATTACTTATAAGAATTGATTCCGTTGAATTATTTAAAAAAAAAAGTAAACACATATTCTTATAGTTTTAAGGATATTTTTTCAATATAAAATTTTTTTATTTAATTTTTTATTAGTATCATACTTAAATTGTTATTGTTTGTACATAGAGCACTACATCAGGAAATAATTATTTTTTTTTATCTAGTTAAAGTTTGGTTGGATTTTGTACCTTGAAATATATAACAGAAAATAAATAGAAGAAAAAATTTATAAATTCCTTTAACTTTAATTTTTTTTTTTTTAAAATATTAAATACTTTTATTTGTGACCAAAAATTATTATTATAATAATTTGTTATCGGACTAATTGGTCAAATTTAAATAGAAATAAAAAAGACATTAATTTATTATTTATATTTAAAAATCGTTTATACTTTATTAAAAATAATTCTTCCGATAGTCATCTTCAGGGAAAACTGCCTGAAGATGACTATCGAAGATAGTCGAAATATCGGAAAAATTATTTTTAATAAAGTATAAACGATTTTTAAATATAAATAATAAATTTGTGTCTTTAACTTTAATTTAAATAAAATAAGATACATATAATAAAAAAATATTGTAAGTTTCGTTATATTCATCATGCCTGAGTAATAAGTTGCTAAAGGGGTGGTACGGACAGGTGATGTGTGTTGTTTGATAAATAACTAAAACCAAATGGACTAGAAAGCTAGAGAGTGGTGCTAAAGAAATAGTGAGTCACATTATCACTCATAGGAGTAGGGAGGGACGACTCAACCTTACAGTGCAGACAGTGATCTTGGGTGGGAACGACCGACAAGAACCAAATACATGGCACGAGAATTTTTTTTGTTGATGTCAGCGTGGATTACTGATGCCAAGACCCACCCCCAAGACCGGCGAGAATTCCGGGCTTGCCACCGTGCCATGGAGGGCATTAGAAGACACAATATTAACAATAAGGTTGACACAACACGATATCAAATTACTTAGATACAGTTGGCTGCTCAGCCGACTTCCGCGCTTCCAACCACGATATGCCAATTAATAGATGCACATAGTGGAGGCACAAACAGCTCAAATAAATGCTACTCAATAGCGGATGGTAATTCTGAAATGTCAGCTATGATTCAAATAGCGACGCTAAAAAACCAATCCCAAAAGCAACGCTTATATTCGGTAAGTGAAACTTCTTCCAAACCATCAAGCTTTCAAACACAAAACAAAACATATTTACAATCAAGCCCACTAACAACTTCGAAACACAACATTATTGCAACAAAATAATGCAGCGCAAAATGGTAACTTAGAGCCAAATATCCGAA